ACTGTGTAACATTATATTCAGAGGACGACTTTCAGTAGTTTGTCTAGTAGGTGAAGGAGTTTATGTAACTGTTCTTGAAAGTTTTGTAGTGCATCAAGACGCTTCAGCTTTAAGCCAGAATACAAGACAATCTTGATCAAACCCTGCAGGTCGGTATTAACTAGGTTTTGGTGGTCCTACTGAGAGATCATTCCCCCTACTTCACCCGAGGACCGAAACCATTGGGTTCCACAGTCTAAGACTAAGTCTAAAATCACAAATATAGATGATAACACTTCATTTAAAGGGATAGTTCACACAAAAATGAAAATTAGGAACATTGTCTCCTTACTTTAGGACTAAACTCCAAACCCATGTACTGTACTTTTTTTTTTTTTTACAAATTTAGGGTTTATTTTTTTGTCCTTTTTGGAAATTGACAGTCCCAATGGAAGCCTGTTTCGGCATGGAATGAAAAGTAAAAAGTTAATTGTGACTTTTCTCGCAACTCTAAGTTTATATGTCACAATTCTGAATTTTTCTTCTCAGAATTGCGAGATATAAAAGATCGGAATTGTTTGATAAATGTCACAATTACCTTTTTATTTTTCATTTTGTGGCGGAAACAAAACTGAATTGCAAGATATGTTGCTATTACTGAATCGTGAGATAAAAAGTCGCAATTACAATTTAAATTTTTTTATTCAGGAACAAAAAACTGATATTGCAAGACAAACTCAAAATTCTGAGAAGAAAAGTCTGAATTGTGAGATGTATACTCGCAATTACTGAATTGTGAGATAAAAATTTGCGATTACCTTTTTTAGTTTTTATTCTGTTACAGAAACCGAAAAAAGTCGCAATTACCTTAATTATTATTATTATTATTTTATTTCATGGCAGATAGTCTTCCATAATTCCCAGTCCCCACTCACTTTCATTGTATGGAAAAGAGCAGCATGAACTCTCTGCTAAATAGCTCTTTTTCTGTTCTACGGTAGAAATAAAGTTATACAGGTTTGGAACGACATGAGGATGAGTAATTGACAACAACGTTTTGGGTGAACTATTGCTTTAAGTGACAGGTTTGTAATGTAAGGCACTTTACAGTGGTCTGACTATGTTACCTACGCTAAACTCTTACAACATCTTTCCATTACACACAGGTTGATTTCTCAACTGAAAGCTATCTTTGCATAGTTCTATGAAACAACACGGTAATAGTTGCAGCTACATGATCATAATAGTGGCACGAATTGGATGCTACTCGAAGGCAAACATCAGTACATCTGAGTTGAGCACTTTTAAACAGTAGAAATATACAGTAACAGTACAGCTTATTATTACAAACAAAGTCAGTCATTTTACACCATGTAAGAATTTTAAAAACCCAAACAAGTGTTAAGAATAAAATATAAACTTTTTTTTTTTTTTTTGATCCTCAA